AGCTACGACGATCCCACACAGGTGAGGAATGGGATTGAAATTAGATGAATGCAACATTTATCACCATTAACGGTGTGATTGTGTATTCATGTGGCCATTTTTTTGTGTCCACTGAGCTAAACAAAAGGAAATACAATCTCCAAGTACGATCTAGTGAGGAAACATTACACCAAGGCAAATTCAAATGTGAAAGAAAATTTAAATTGCGTATTTATTTTTTTTCCCTCCGAAGTGTTTGATGTACTCGTCATTCAGGGGAAGCACAGTGAACGGAGGCACTCTGACCTCAACGCTACAACTCTACACAAAACCGTTCGATTCTCTGGAAATCCCCCCAAAAGTTCCACCGCGCAGGGAGAGCATCTGCATACACCCGGCCAAACCCAGTCTGCTCCCCAACCTGGTCAGCACCACCAACCAGGCGCTCAAACCTGTACCCGTGCAGCAGAAGATCCCCACAAAACTGGCCAAGGAGAAGGACAAAGTCTCCAAGAAGAAAACCCACAAGAGGGCCCAGAGCGCAGGTCAGGAAATAGGTTAACGTTTAAAACCTGAAGTTTGAAAAATATTTATCAACACTTAATCTGAAGCCAGCTGTTACACCACATGGCTGTGAACTGAAACCATTTCTCACTGTGTTTCTAATTCCAGCCTCTATAGACCTGAGCGAGGTGGCGCCCATCCAGGTGACGGTGAAAGAAGGAGGAAGTCTGAGGTTCCAGAGAAAAACCAGTCCTCAAAGGATCATAAATACAGGTACGACCGGAGAAAAATGTAAAAAAAAATGTTTTTACTTGGTTGGCTAAGAAATAAGTAAAATAGATCTCAGTATGTGCTAAACGTGCACAGTCATGGCTGGGAAAAGCTGCAGGAGACACAATGAGCAAATCAGACTCGAATCCCAGAGAGTATAAACAAGTTTTAAGTTTAGATTTAAAAGACTGGATGGAGGGAGCAGATTTGACTTTTCAGTATTTCACTTGTCAATATTTTTTTAACTAGAATTATGGTGACTGTGTGCACTGAACTTGTGAACTCGTTGCCTTTGAAATGTGACTGAGACCAGGTCTACAACCGCTAGCAGTCAGTTGCCATCTTCCAAGCAACTTTTTTTTTTGTGTTAACACGGCAGTAAAATTGCAATAAGACAGGACACATGTTCATTTTGTGTGTGTGTGCTCAGTTTGGCAGTTACTCCTGTAACTTCTGTAATCTGGTTGTGATGCGAATAACTGTGAAGAATCAGCCATCCACATCACATTAAGTAGTTGTATTCAGAGTCCAGCCAAAAGCGCAAAACTTCCTCCACAAATAGTGATGTAGTTCCTGCAGGACAGCAGTTTACCTGCAATATGATGTGGGCCACCTTGCATTTATACAGAAATGGATCCAGAGTAAAAGCAACGAGTGGCAACGCCCGTGATCGTATTTGTAGTGTTCATCCTTAGTTCACGAATGACTGAGCAGCACCCTCTTGTGGAGAGTTTGTACCTTTTCAGTTTGGTGGCACAGAACGGACGTGACTGAGGTCCTAATAATGAGATCCTGCTCTCATGTCTCATAAACAGGAGGGACATAAAATTAGAAATGTGGTCATTGCAGTGGGTTGCACTGCTACACCTGTACAAACTGCTCCCTCAGTGATAAACACCACTGAATTTGAGCTTTTATTTCCCTGGAGTGCTGGATTTGTCTTCTTTCTTCCTTCAGATACTTTCAGTCCTCCAGCATTTGTCCAGAACGTGAAGACGCCTCAGAACCTCAACAGACGGAGGAGCAGCGACACTACTCCACCAGCTCCACCTCCTTTCCCCAAGGACATTGCCAAACAGAAAAAAGAGAAGGAAATCTTTCTTTAACCCTAAACTTCAGACCATCGGGCGAGTCTGGAATTATAGACGGAGCTGTGAGAAGACTTCAGGATGACCGTGTGTGTGTAAAGTAAAGAAATAATTGTAAACAAAGCAGATGTTTGATGAATGTATACACCGTCCTGCTAGAGCATGTTGAAAGAGTGAAGACGTTTGGCCATGTTTGTACATTTGAGAAAGATCTTATTTTGTATTTTTATGGCCAAAAAAAGGTGGTTTGGTTTTTTTTTTTAGTCATTTTTGTTTTAAAGTACGATCTGTAGCCACGTAGCACTCGTGTCTTAAGCTCTTGCTTTTATATAGTCAACGATGGTGTGTGAGTAAGTGAGCAGTACATCTGACAGATTTGCCTATTTAAAACTGAACTGTAAAGCATTTTATTTTACTTTTGTTTGAGTGAATCAGATATCAATGATTTTAAAAAAAATTTTTTTTTTTTTTTTAACCTGCTGAGCATGTGTACAAATTAAAAGTGTGTGTGGAAGTAGTGTGAGCGCATCGTTAAATGAACATGAACAAAGGCTCAGCAGATTGCATCCACAACACTTACAACTCTTAAACTGTTAAAATAATGTTCTGGGGATGTGAAATATTTAACCTCATGTGCCTAATTTTCTCTGGTAGAAACACTCTCGCTCCTCTTTGTTCCATGTAAAATATTTGACATGTCGTGGAATAAAAGCAGGCTGATTTTACAGTTGTGTAAATTTTTTGTTGTTGTTTGTTTAATGACTTTTGCTGAGGGTTGAGCCTCTGAAAATAAAACTAGATGTGAAAATCATTTTAGGCAGGTGGAAGTTATAATTACTTCACTTTTTACTTGGGTAAAGAGTACAAAGAACACAAACACTCATCACACAATCCACTACGAGCAAGCAATGGGTGATGGTGGGGAGGAAGAACTGCTTTCTAACAGGAAGATGCCTAAAAATTATCTTAAAATTCAGTTTTTTTCTTTGGTAATTTTAAGTTAAAATGTGGACTTTTTTCAGCGAGGGAGAAAAGCTAAAACGACCAAGGATCAGTAAAAGTTAATTGAGGATTATTTTGAACAGCAAAGCACGAGTTAGACTCCAAGAATAAAAGTTATCTTTGGGGTGCAAGATGAGGTGATTTAAAAACACCAACCTGGCTCCAGAGTTTGAGGGTGCTATTAAAATATATAGCAGCACATACGTCACTAAAGGGCCTTTTGCAAAACCACTAACAGTGTGCTGGTTGATCAGATAAGTGACCCAGAGTAAATGGACACTCTCCATCCTCCACTGATGAGGTGACAGAGGCTCTTTGTGCTTGCTGTTCATCTCTGCAGGGACTTCTCACAGCTGGAAGGCCACGAAGAAAAGACTCATTCAGAATCTGGAAGGAAATGTGAACATAAATCACCCCGAGATCAGCTCCTGGGGCGGGGGTCCAGCTAAGCTGAGAAGGTTCCTGGCTCAAGTCTGCTGGTCCTGGCTTTCTCCTACAGCCCAAAGGCCAATTTAGACCATAACAAAAGCAGAGTCCCACCTGTCCAGCAACAACACATGGGAGGTGTGGCGGGGCGTACAAGACTTTATAATCCACAGAGGGTCTGAAAACAGAAAACCTGAGTGCTCACAGAAGAGAAATTGCTTCTTCGCCCACTTGGAAACACCACAACAGCAGCCCTCATCTGCTTCAGGCCTGCTCCCATCCTCACCTCGTTCCTGCACCGCTCCACTCACTTTACGAAATATGATGTCAGACGTGTATTCTTAGCAGTGAACCCCAGGAAGGCTGCCAGTCCAGACAGAGTACCTGGCAAGACGCTAACAGCGTGTGGCCACCAGCTCACCCTCATCTTTACCAGAATATTCAACCTCTCACTAGACTGGGCAGCCATCCCACCCTGTCTAAAATCAGCCACAATCATCCCAGTGCCGAAGAAGTCTCCCGTCACTAACCTGAACAACTACCACCCTGTGGCCCTCACTCTGGTAATCATGAAATGCTTTGAGAGACTAGTCCTTCAGCACATCAAGGACTACCTCCCCTGAGGCCTCGACCCCTACCAGTTTGCATATCATGCGAACAGATCCACAGAAGACAGCATCACCATAGCCCTGAGCGCTGAGCCCCCTCCTGTATTGTGTCTACACCCACGACTGCAGTTCTACCCACCACAACCTCATCATCAAGTTTGCTGATGACACCACGGTAGTCAGATTCATCTGAAAGGGAGACGAGGCAGACTACTGAGAGGAAGTCCTGAAATTGGCGCATAGTGTTCAGAGAACAACCTGGCACTGAACACCAACTTGTGGACTTCAGGAGGCACAGCACTGACTTAGCCCCCCTGTACATCAAAGGGGAGTGTGTGGAGAGGGTCCACACGTTCGGGTTTATCAGTGTCCTCATCTCCGCTGACATCTCCTGGACAGACAACATCACAGCAGTCGTCAAGAAGGCCAGCAGCGGCTGCACTTCCTGAGGCTGCTGCTGAACTTCTACCGCTCATCCATTGAGAGCCTGTTGACATATTGCATCACAGTATGGTACGGGAGATAAAGTGAGGCTTCAGAGAGAAGTCAAAGCAGCACAGAAGATCATCGGCTGCCCTCTCTCCTCCATGATGGACATTTAGTCCTCCCGCTGCCTCAGCAGAGCAACAAAAATGCGCTACAGGTGCATCAGCATAAAGACTGACAGACTCAAAAATAATTTCTTCCCAAAAGCCATAACCACCCTGAACTCACACATGCACTGACAATACAGTCCCACCCCGATTCCAAGGCCTTCCCTCTATAAACAGACTACACAACTATCATTACTGTGCAATAGTTTACGTGCAATAACCCTGTAACACTGTAAATATATCTCACTAATTATCAATTCCCCCCATATGTATATTTTATATATTCTTTTGAATACTGCTCATATGTATATAGTGCAGCAGAACTGAGCACCTCACGCCCGTTTCTTTTACCACATGTTTGCACTGCGTAGGAGATGCTCTGTATCTCATTGTACATGTGTATAGTGACAAAAGGCATTCTATTCTATTCTATTTTAGATTCAGCAGTGTGTGGATATTGAGTATAGATAAAGTGTATAGAGTAGATCAGTTTTGAAAAGTGTGATATAAGAAACACAGCAGGCCTAATATTAAATACAATGGTTCTTTATTATACATATGCCTCTGTGGAGGCATTAAAAACCACTGGGTGACACCAAGCTATCCTGGTGAATGAATAATGTCGTCCAGAAAACTGTTCAATCACATTCGGACACCGAGGCCGGACTCACTCGCAGCACGCTGCTGTCCAACATGATGCCCTCGGGTCAGACAAACAAAAGCAGAACAAATATGGGACAAGTAGGTCGTTACCATGGTTTCCATATCTTTAAACCCTTATAATTATGCATAAACATACACGTACACACACATGAGCCGACAACAGGCCGTTTCATGAGTTAAAATGCTGTGCAAATGTTTCAATACAAACTAAAAACAACCAGAACCACATACTCTCCAGTTCACACATGAAACTGCAGCACTTTGAGTCCAGCACACGGTTTTCAGAGAGCCTCCCCCCACTCCCCCACTCCAGACGTGGACACGGTAAGGCCAAAACCCCAACTCTTAATATAACACGAGCGCCTCCCGGGTGATGCAGACTGCAGCGCTCAGCAACATTTACAAAGTCTGGGTTATATATCTGGGCTAAAATCAAAATAAAAGCATGCAAACACAAAATGTAACAAAAGCTTGATGAGAAAATAACAAAAGTGCTTTGGCTCAGTCAACAACCAGGTTAGCACCACATTTTAAGGGGTATGAAAGTTTTCAGCGGCTTCATGCTCTGACTCTGGGACACACGCTTCAAAAGGGCTTTTTAAGGGGATTTAAGTCTCAGTGCGTTTCAAATTAAGTGCTTGAAAATTGATGGGCTTGCAGAGCTGCTGCCATCGCTTTCTCGTGTTATGACCCAAGTCATGATGCTGTGTGTTGTTTGTGCTTATGTAAGTTCCAGGTGGAGGCAGATAATTGGCTAAGCATGGAATGAGGCTGGCTGCCCCGCCCACTTTCTATTTCCAAACAAGCTGTGCATTTAGCCATGGGTCTTGTGTTTAGTGGTGAGCTGTGTGACCAAGTTACTGTGATGAGAAGAGCTTGGTTGTCTTGTATTGATTGTAAACCTTGGTGATCTGGTTGCTGTTGGGGTTTTCTTTTAAAACCTTTTTCTCCTGTTTAGCTTAGTGATACAGGTAAGAGGCCTGTATTTTCTTTTGGGTTTCTCGTCATAGGTAAATCAGTTCTGTTTTGTTTGTTGTTTTGGCCATTCCCTCCCTGCTGCTTGCTATCTTTGGAGATTAATAAAATATCTGGTTGTTGTGAAACCGCAATCCTGTGGTAGCGTTGGTCTTTCCTTGGGAGCAGGCAGCGTTTCCTTTTCTTTTTTTTTGTGTTGTGCTCCGGTTTCCCCTTGGCTGGGTTGTAGCCAGGACCTTTAAAGCCCGGTCACACCAGAAAGACGAACAGCTAAATATTTGGGTCCGAGGCTTGGTGACTGTGGCAACAAACTGGATCAGAGTATCTTTCCACACCTCTCTGTCATCAGAGAAGTTTTAGCACTTTATTGTGAAGACTGAGCAAAATTTTATATTCGTTCGCTAACAGGAGCACCTTGAGGTCAAACACATCTGAGTCTGCTCTTCACTCGCATAGTAATTGTTCGATTTAGGATCTACTGTGGTGCAGAGAGGCAAAAACTACAAAATAAATGTGCCTTTCTCCAACAAATTATGAACCTGGCACTACCTTTAACTGCTAGATAAAAAAAACTGACTGCTATTTAGAATTTTTTTCTTTTGTCCAAAAGCAGAAAACAATGTTCGAGATGCCTTATTTTACAAGTTTTGTTTGTGTGATCAACATTTCAAAACCCAAATACTCTGTTTCTTATACATAAATGAGAAGCTGGAGCAAGAATGAATATTTAAATCTTTAATTTTCTGTTTGCCACCTAATATTTTACCATTTCTCTTTTTTCGCTCCATTGGGTTAGTTGGATCCTGGAGTTATTTGTATGAGACTGATCAGGCACTAAATACATTTTTTGATTGCTCAAAGTTCATTAAAGTTGGTTTTCAGGGGTGCAAAACATGCAGCTCACGGCTCACTAATTAATTCATTACCACGATTCCTTTAATAGCGATGCCAGTATTTCTACACAGCAACTACTACTATCGCTTATTTTTTTCTGCTCTGGACATGCCGTTTGAATTGTGAAGCACTAAAACCTCCACGTGAAGTTTTTTCCCCTTTTCTCTGATCTGTAACACGTCAGGGTGCTCATTATAATTTATTATGATAATACGATTTATTAAACAATTAATAGGTCAAAAACATTTTTTACTCAGGTTTAGATCTCAGCTTTTAAAAGGTCTTTTTTTCTCCATAAACCACTTCTTAAATGTAAAGAAAACCAAAAATCAGGAGGGGTATTTTTTTTAATCTGCCATTTAGCTCTGGTGTTACTGGTCAAGTTATACATTGCACTGTTATTTGCTGCCGTGACGGGGTCTTTAGGTTGGCACAGAGCTGAGAGGAGTGGAAATATTTATTGTTTTCTCAATAAAGTAGTGTAGATTGACTTTTCACTCCCCTTTCGGGTGGTGCAAATTGTATGTTAGTAGGAGGTGGTGATGGGACTGCTTCTGTTTGTCTGTGCCCGGCTGAGCCCGACATTCAGAAAACACAGATTCGTACTTGGCACCGAGTGCAAACAAGCATGAGTATGTGAAATGTCCACTGACTCGGACACACTGTAGAAAGAAAATGAACAAAGTAAACACGGTGAAATGGAAAAGTGCCGTACTAGACGTTATTTCAGTTGGGTTTTTTTCCCTCTTCATTGCTCTCCACCGGGGGAGTTTTCTGAGGCGGGTCCTGGGGGGAGTCTTCACTCTGACTGGCTTGCTCCTCTGCGGTTGGTGACTCTGGTTTAGCTGAGGCCTCCTTGGTCGGCGGCGCGGCGGTTTGTGTGCAGTTGATCGGTGCGAGCACTATGGCAGGCTGCAAGGGACAGAAAACAAAAGCCTGCATGAGTGAAGGGCGCCAGGCTGAACACAAAATTTAATGACAGGAGCTACAGGAGAGCAGAAGGCAAACAGAACCAAACGCTACACAGGCACAAATTTAACCCCAGCTAAAGAAGCTTTGTGCCCTCAGAGGTATTCGCAGGGATAGAAACGTCCCACTGAGGTTTTTAGCCCCATCAAGCTACACAGAAATAATCTACATCAACATCAGCCCCACTAATGGAGTCAGAGTTTCCCATGTGATCACTACTTTATCATCAATGCAGAAATGAAGCAAGGTTAAGAGAGCAGAGGGAGGTACTACGAAGCAAGTTCATAAAGCCAGGCTTACTTTGTGTTAGCTGGCTCAACAACACCTAAAACCCCAGTCAGAGGTAACAGGCATCTCAACAGTGGTTTTCAGCTTCCTGTGTTAGCTCAGGTTTTCTGCTTCAGGCTCTGAGCATGCTCACAATAAAGAGCAGGCATCTGATGAAAGTTATTTTACAGATTTAATATTCTTGTTTGTAGTCCTGATAAATGGACAACAAACAAACAGACCGACTTTCTAATCTGTGTTTTTTAAGCTAGAATTTCAGCAGGCTTGGCAGCAGATTTAAATAAAATACAAAAACAATCGTTTTCTGCATTAGAAAATAAATGCTAACATATTCCTGCCTCTCTTTCGGGGGTTATAGTGAAACACAGCTCTACCATGTATGTAATCACTTATGTATATACAAAATTTTTTATTCCTGTGCTAATTTTATTCTTTTTATACAGCTGCTGTAACAATTTCCCTTGTGGGAACATGAATGTATATATCTGCACTTGGCATGTATAAAACCTATTGCTCCAGCAGAGAATCTGAATCTATCTAGAATCAGTGAAAACGTGGCACTTTTTAAATAGCTTCAGTTACCATGGTGATCAAGAAAGCCACCCCCGGGACACTGAAAACTCTGACTTAAGGCTCGACGTAGCTCACTAAGCCATTGATTTCGCTTCGTAGTACGTCCGTCGGGGTGTTTGATGGTAGAATGAAGCCCGGTTTGAATACCTGCAGTGACATTCACAGACAGCTGAACCCTCAGCACACCCACAGTGAAATAAAGGGTGAGGAGTAGCGATGGAGGGGGACAGTGAAAACAGAAAGAAGCATTTGGAATGGATGGAATTATTTAAAGGGGTTACTCAACTTGAAATTCTACTTTAGTCTGCATGTTATTTAAACCTAGATTTTTTTTTCTCCTTTTTTTTTGTTAAGTCTTTTTGTTCTTCCGTAGTAGGCAGTCATATCAAACTGGTATTCACCACAAATCCACTTCCAGTCCAGAACTGGGGCAACTCCCTGCGCCACAGCGCAATACTGAGGCTGGTGAGCAGAGTGCAAGGCACCAGGTAGAGTAACGCCGGCTGACCCATCTGCATCACGGCCAGCGCCACGAAGGTGATCAGCAGGCCGATGCCGTAAGCTGACGGGAGAGAGACAAAGACAGACGTCACTTTAGCTCCTGCAGGTGTTCTGCAAGCTGGTGTGCTGCTATATTCTTATTTACAGGTCGTCCTTGGCCTGCTTCTACCTTACTGAGCTACAACCATCAGAAAAGTTACTGAATTCTTTTGTTCCTAGACTTTTTCCTAAAGCTTGTACCAGATCTGGCAGGAAAATGAAATCATCTCTTTTTTGCTCTAAAACTGAAGTCCTCAGGAGAGGAAGTGCTGATGTTTTCTACTGGCTAGTCTTAACAATCTGTTTATTACATTACAAGCACCACGGTCATTTTTCTCGGGGTAAAACAATGAGTTGAACTACAGAGCAGAACCTCCCCTTATCAATGTCATTCCCACCTGAATGAGGCTCATCATAACATCAGCATTTCACAGAGTACAGCCCACCTCCATCCCCTCCTCCAGCCCACGTACGTACCAACTGTACAGGCCATGAAGTAGATCCTGTAGGATTGTGTTAAAATGTCAAATCTGTGACAGTACACAACCAGCAGACCTGAGAAAAGAAAACCAAAGAGGCATTCAGAACAAAGGGAATGACTAACAGCAGTTTCACAAAGCTTTCTTAGCAGACTTCCACTTTTAGTATTTGTTTTAAATTCTTTGATGAAAATCTCTCATCCGTGACAGACTTACTGTTGGACAAGCCCTTGCTCTTATTTTCAAAGCATGTGAACTGTGTCATCATAAAACATTTGATTTGCATACCTGGTACTAAGATATCTCCGAAGCCAAGCAGGGAGAAGGGGCGGTCACAAAGAGCCAGGGGGGAGGAGTTTAACCGTGGCACTTTAAGCACCATGGGAAGCTGGGGAAAACACAAAAATTAACATTACCATCAACTACTGAGCTGAGAGGGGTGTTTGGAGGACTTAACCGAGGTGTACCACGTAGGCTCACCTTTTCATGTGTGGAGGAGTCAGAGGGACCAGCTGCTACCTCCACCATTATACTTTGCCCACTCTGGAGAAAAGGTAAGGAGTAAAAACACAAAGAACACAGCAAACAACAACTAAACTAAAGAGACGTGTGTGACAACCTGACATACCTTTGTGAAGGAAGGTGTAATAAATACGAAGAAAACATCATAGACGAACAGGACGGTCATTAGTAAAGTGCAAGCCTGCATCAGGGAGCAAAAGAAAACAGTTTATGATCAAACTTTTGTTAAAACAATCAAACACAGTTAAAAACCTTTCAAAAAAAAAAAAAAAATCGCGTTGTGGTTCAGATCTGTCACCTTAAATGTGGGCAGCCTGACTGTTTTGAGCATGTAGAGACAGAAGGCGATCCCCAGGGCGTCCTGTAACACCCACGCCCACCTGGAAGACACGTAACACATTAGTCAGCCAACACCATCACCATATCATGTACCTCAAAGGCGTCATTACACACAGACTTTACGCCACCCGACACACACACCCACAATAATTCTGCCCTCAAACCAAAATTCTTGGGTGCTGGAAGAAAGTGTGCAGCACAGCCTGTAGGAAACCAACAGCTTCAGCTCTTTTGATACTTCAGCAAAAGCATCTTTCCAAGTGAAAGTGAAAAATTTCCCCCCAAATATAGCACCTACGGGGTCACTCTGAATTTTAAACCAGAAGATATGGACTTCTGGAGAAGCCCACAATAATAATTCCTTTCTCAAAAAGCTGAAATAGCCCGAGTGGTGACACTTCTGGATTATGTGATAAGGTATCTACTATTAGGGCTGGGCCATATCATACCGTTCACTGTAATACCGGTATAATGTTAGGAAATGATAAGAAAATTAAATATCGCAATAGAAAATGGGTAAAACGCGCATGCGCAGTGCCTTTGTTTTCATACGCACATGGTGGAAAAAAGCATGGCGGCGACAGAGAATGAGAAGGGCGAAAGCGGATCGCTGAATAAAACTGATGAAGCAGAATTGGTTTGTAAAAATGCTGCAACTTCAGTGGTGTGGAACTGGTTTGGCTTTCGTGCCCTCAGATACACACCAAATCACATTTTTTGGTAGAGCATGCAAGCGGGCCGTCGTTATTACCGAACCGAGTTTATGTGGTACACGCCGCTCAAAAATCTGTCAAAAAAATGTTTTAGTACGACTTTGCTAAGTTACGAAGCCGCACCGCTTGATGGATTGTCAGAGCATTATGGTTACCGTAGTCGGGAGCCTCGCCGAGTGATATGTACTGTGCTTGAACATAATATTACCGTACTGTGTGTGTATAACCTCTTTTTAAGTTTTGTGGATATTATACATGGTTATGCTGAGGACATGTCGGCCAATTTCCTGGAAATGCCTTTTGGTTAAACTGTCAGCAAGGAATTTTCATTTGCACTGTTAAATTTTTATACAACTTTAATGCACATAAAAAACAGCTGCTTGTTTAAGTGAAATTGTAAATGGTCTGTGTTTGTATAGCGCTTTACTAGTCCCTAAGGACCCCAAAGCGCTTCACACATCCAGTCATCCACCCATTCACACACACATTCACACACTGGTGATGGCAAG